CAGTAAACATAGGCCAGTTGTGCTAAATAAAATTTTGAGTGGCTACTGCTGTTGGAAAACCGAGAAACTAACCAGTGGAAAAAGTTCTAAAATGGCTGCCTTGAAATAAAATTTGTAGGAGTAGAATGTGAAGCTTACAGGGCTTTTTTGAGTGAAAATCATGTCTGCTCTGTTTAGGTGAGGTTGAGGCTTTTTCTTCATCAACATGGAGAGCTTTTTTATATTACCGTGATTTGATGCTTCAACAGATTGCACAGCTTGTATTGTTTTTACAGCACTTACTGTGCTTGTGCTGCTCATATTCACATCAGAGTCACACGGTGTCTTGACACAGATGGCACAGGCACATGCAAATTATGTACAAGGACAGGCATGGATAATCTATATAGAGGAAATAAATGCCTCATGTGTAATTAATTATTGTCTTGAGCACATGAGAAATGGAAGTAATGTAATTCTAATTAAGTCAGTAACAGAGTTTTGAAAATTCAGCATGTAATGTGTTACAATACTTTGTTACAGGAAAAAATAACAATATTACTGTAACGCATTACTATGTACCACACTAGGGATGCACAGTAAAAATCGGCTAAGATTGGAATTGGCGGATTTTGGTTCAAAATCAGCTAATATGTTGTTTTTTTGTTTTGGTTGGTCTGTGTTGCACTCACAGTGTATTTGAATGCTAATTCTACTCCTAAAAGGAAATATCATAGCATTATTATGTGGGACGCATTGTGCTAAATAGCTTGTTGCCTCTTACCTTCAGTGCAACACTTTATTTGATTAATGTTGTTTAATCATGCAACCGATTTAAAATTGAAAAATTATAAATGGCAGGTTGGCCTAGAGCAAATAATGTTTTTTAGATTGTGACTTTGGCTGATAGAAAGTGCTGGAAATGTGCTAGTTTTATCTGTTAATTTACCCCATACAGTGTGAGCTTCAGAATAAAAAAAAAGGCACTTAAAAGTTTATGAAGGTATCTGAATCAACCATAAAAAATTCATGATTGGTGCATCCCCATAATCAGTGACTAATCAGTACAAGTATTCTGTTCTTCTTTAATGTACAGGGAAATTGTCCGTGGTAATCAACTGTGTGCCACAGATGCAGCAGACAGATTTTTTTTTTTTAAGTGCTGGTATGTTCCTCATGCATGTGAGTGTTTGCGGCAGAGAGACGAAGAAAGGAGAGAAGGGGATTCAGGAACATGAACAGACATCTGGTTTTCATTGGTGGGACAAAAAATGGGGCCAAGTTCTGGGAACTGGCAAGACACATGCGTGCACACACATTGAGAGGGTTCACTTTGAGCCGAAAGAATGGAGGAGATTGGAAACTGTTGTGGAGGTTTGAGCTCATTCGCTCCCTTTTGAGAGAGTGTGACATCATCACCCAGCCCAAGGTAACTGCTCCTCAGGTCAAATGCTGCAGTTCTCTCCCTGCTGCGCATGCACACACACACACACACACACACACACACTGGATAGGTGGTGTGTCCCTATGCGGTAGAGAGAGGTGTGGAAGTGTAAGATTTAGGGGTATGTGCATGTGTGTGAGCTCATCACATTAACAGAATGAGCGTTTGGAGAAAGCAGAGACGCGGCTAGAGCGCTCCCAATGATAAATGTTATTCCAGAGGTGCTTAGAGAGCAGGAGGGCCACGCCTGTGTGTGCGCAATAGGGCTGCAACTGACGATATGTCTATAATCAATCCGTCTATTGACTGTTATTCAATTAATGCACTAATCAAACCATTACTGCTTCTGTGGTTTCCTCTCACTGTGCCTCCTCACAGTGCTGCCATCATTCATTTCATTCTTTTCTTATGGTGCAAAGAAACAGAAGCCGTATCACTCCCTATGTTTGCTTACAGTGTATTGCAGTCTATCTGTGTTACTGTATGTACCGTATTAACTTAGAGCGCTTTTGTTTTTAAAGGATCCAGATGAAAAATGTCTGTTGTAAACATGTGGCAGTACTCTTTCGAGAGTGATGCTGTTTTCAAGTGGTCTCGGTTTTGTTGCATTAATGGATTTCCCACCAGGAGGCGCCACATAAATGGCCTTCGAAATCAGGTGGTGAAGTTATTTCGATGCGGCATTGATTGGCCAAGTTGTGCCGTCAGTGATGTTTTTATCATGGAGGAGGACAAAAGTGAACAGTCAAGCAACGACAAGCAATCAGATAAACTATACATATATAATAAAAGGTAATGGCTAAGTGAATTTTAAACATGTACAGTTAACTCACATTTTATTTCTGCTTCGTATGAGTTCAGAACACCAGTGAAATGGGCCAGAGCCGATAGATGGCAACTAGCTAATAAACTACAACAGTCATTTTATAAACTCTCTGTTCAGTTTATCTCTCACATAAACCACATGAATACATACACGGGGTGAACGAGTTCCTCTTAAGAGAAAATGAACAACCTAGTTGCACCTGAGACTTTCCAGTTTGAAGATTAGGAAAACTCCCCTCTGATGTGGCTTAAATATGGAAGGACCTTTGAAAACCTCCAGCTGCTGTAGGGTGGTTTTTGGGTTGCAGGCTGTTTTGAAATGATAGTGAATGCAGAACATGTCTTCAAGTCATCTTTATAATGCAAAGAATGCATTATTCAAATGACAGAAATGGCTTGTCGGATAAGGAAGTCTACAAGCTACATTTAGCATTTAGCTATCTAGACACTTTAGCTCACTTATCTCTTCATTTCTTTAGCTGTGATTTCTTTAGCTCTGGCATTTTGTTCTAAATAAAGATGTATCATTATTTTTCTACAAAATTGTTTGCCGACTGAGGTAAGAGTTACACTAATGCTAGCTTGGATGTATCTGTTAGCTTATAGCTCAGTGGTTAGGATAGCAGTCAGGATTGGTTGACACCGCAGGGATTCCCAGTGGCCGTATGATGTAACTATACGCGTAATGCATGCTGAGTTGTGAGAGAACACTGATGAACAAAAACATGAAAACAGTACAAAATGGTGAATTCAGGCTGAGGGATGTGATGCTGCGCTGCAGAATACTGCATAACATATTAAACTTTAGTTATATGCCGGAAAGTGCTTTAAGTAACCAGTGTGTTCACTTTAACTTACTGTTATAGCCCTATTTCATGTGTCAGAGCCTTTAGAAGGGACCCTTTGTTATCCCCTTATGAGTGACATTTGCACTAATGAGCTGTGTCTGTCATTTAGCTCCATCCTGCTGCGCATGTTGGGTAGAACAGTGTGTTGCAGTGGGTCAGAGGGGGGTCTCCTCTAAAATAATCCCAATTTTACACTCCTAATCATAATCAGCCCGCGCTTTATTAGGAACCCTGCGGTCAGGCTTTTATCCACACGCCGCCTCTCTGCTGCTCTCTCTCTACTGCACTCTCTCTCTCTCTCTCTCTCTGTGTCAGTGTTGCACGGTCGCTGTTTTGAAACAGGCCGTGACCAATCAGAACCGCACTTCAATCTGAGAGAAGTGTGTGTGGCTGTGACACAGCACAGACTGAACTAGCCCACTGAGCACAACTTATACTCCCATCAAAAAAAAGACACGGTCGTCTCAAATAAAAAAAAAAAACAGTGAGAGAGAGAGAGAGAGAGATGTATGTAAATAGACAGACAGACAGACAGACAGACAGACAGAATTATCGACAGAGAAGAGATATAGATTGAAAGATAACAGTTATATGAAGTGATGGAGTGGTTCAGATAAGAGGAACAGAGAGAAAGAATGCAGGAGAGAGAGACAGAATGCTGGAGAGAATGATGGACAGAAGAAGAGACATATAGATAGAGAGAGATAAAAGATGAAGATGGAGGGGTGGGCAGGTGTAGATAAGAGGAATAGAGAGGAAATGAAGGAGAGAGAGGGAGAAAACGATGGAGAAACAGAGAGAGAAAGATGTACAGCGAGATAGATAAAGATGGAGTGATAGACGTGAGGAATAGAGAGGGAGAGCATGCAGAAGAAACATGGTGAGAATGTGGGAGAGAGCGGCCCAAAGAAAGAATGCAGGAGAGAGACAGAGAGGGAATGATAGAGGCAGAGGAAGAGAGATGAAGAGAGACGAAAAAGATAGATGAAGATGGAGCGATAGGCAGGTATTGATGAGAGAAAGACTGCAGGAGAAAGAAAGCAAAAAATGAATGAGAGACATGGAGAGAATGCAGGAGAGAGAGATAGTTAACTGCACTTCGTCACACGCATTTCATTGTACATATCCACAGTATATCCCATACCATAGTCCTTCTGAATATGAGCCTCTCTCACCTTCCTTTACTGTAGTCAGTGCACATACATACTTCAGCTTACTGCAGTAAACATATTTTATATTCATATTTAAATTCACTGCTCAGTTCTTTTAGCTGTACTACTGTACACATGTACTTGAGTAGTTGATTGTATCTGTGCTTATATCCCATTGCACATCCTATAAATTACTTGTGTACTGTCTGTTTTATGTTTACAGTATATCTTTTTTTACATTTATTTTGTTGGTGTTCATTTTCTGTTGACATCGACACTCAGAGGAATTCCTTGTGCATCTGGTACTTGATATGTAGAGAGACATGAAGATAGTGGACAGATTGATGATAAGAGGGAAAGATGCACAGACAGAGGAATAGAGAAAGACAGAGAGATATATAGTGATAGTTAGAGAGACCGACTGAGGGAGATGGACAGAGATTGAAGGGTAGAGATAGACCCAGAGAGGTGGACACAGAGAACTGTAGAGGGGTAGAGCGAGAGAGATTAGATGGATTTAGAGAGAAACTGTACAGTCCATTCTGCTGGACGATCGTCTCATCCTCAGACATGAGGATGGCGAGAGTGTGGCCTGCTAGGAGATTTTTCCCTTTATCTCCAGTTCTTCCATTCATAGTTAAGTATCAGTGTTGTGCTTGTTCAGTCCTGTCCTGGTGCCCATGTTAAATCAGAAGTGTGGACGGTCCTGTTCTGTTCACTGACTGTTTCTGACCTTCTGTTTTTCTCTTTCAGTGCGTTTGCTGCCCTGTCCGAAAGCACCATCACAGAGAAAGAGCGAGACTGAGAGAGAGGGGGGGAGGAGTACAAGTAAGTGAAGAACACAGAGTAATGCATGAAAACATGGCTGCTTATTACAGGCAGAGGAGAACAGAAGGGTTATTCTGAGATGCCTTAATTCAATAAAGAGAGCTTTTTACAGGACACAGAGATGGGGGGGGGGTAATTACTCAAAGGATTCTCTGCCTTTCTTTACAAACACTCCCTCTTTTCACTGGTAAAGTGCACCGCTGCCTCAGCTTCTGTTGTCTACACAAAAAACGACTGGCTGAATGGTCTGATTTATTTTTTTTTCCTGCAGCTTCATGAAATATGAGGCCTGCATCTCGAAATAAAAGCTAAACGTATTCTTTTCTTACATAAACACGCAATTCTCTCTCTCTCTCTCTCTCTCTCTCTCTCTCTCTCTCTCTCTCTCTCTCTCTCTCTCTCTCTCTCTCTCTCTCTCGCTCTCTCTCTCTCTTATTGTTCTGTGTTTTTATATTGGCAGTCTCCTGCTGTCTCATCATTTTCCGTAAAATAACAGAGGCGAGCCGTTAAGGAAATGATGATTGAAAGGCAGATTAAAAACAGCCTGCATTACACTGACTGATCTAATCTCACTCAGGAATCACAACACCGTGCCCCTCCCCTCCCCTCCGTTTATTTATTTTTTGTTTTTTTGGGGGGAGACTCGGCAGCAGAGCTGTGGTGGGAGGCTGGGTGCATTTTAAGTAGAAATATTTATCTTTCTTCCCTTTTAGAGCTGCCAGGAGGAGACAGAGGCCTTGGTAAATGAATATTGTTTAGCACTCCCAAAACTGCTTTTCATAAACTCCCTGTACGGATTCATCCTGGTGCTCTGACAGTGATTTATAGCTCCTGTCAATCACAGACGTGCGGGTGTGTGAGTGTGCATGCTATGATTTAGCAGTAGGGATATAGGGAGGTCGTGCTATAGTATATTAATGCAGGTAAATGGCACTGGCGCTTTCCATGGTTATAGCCTTGCTTCCCACTCAGGGATAGATAAAACAGTAAAAGCAAAACATTTGACAAGCAAAATTCTCCCTTCATACCACCTTGAATTTAATCCAGGTATTGTGTTTTGACAATATCCATGGAAAAATGAAATTTGCAGAGATTTTGCACAGTTAGCTCAAATGTGTTTGATCAGCCGAGGCATGTTTGGTGTCTGAAGTTTGCTTTTTGTAGTGGAGTTACGAGGCTAATGTAGTTGTGCACAGGTACTCGATGGCTCTGTTAACCCTTTAAGGTGCCAATATTCTAATACTGAAATAACTCTTTGAGTATTCATTACATTCTATCTCAGAAAGACAGAGGAAATATGCAGGCAAATAGTTAAATGAATCACTCATTTTACATTTTAACAGGACTGTAAAATGTGACCATTTTGCTGTTTGTTTTATGACATGAGTCATGTAACATTGAGCATGGTTCCATGGACACGTTTTTAAGGATGTGATTGGTTAGTCAGAGGTAGTGCGATCGGTCCTGGCTTTGCTAACTAGCCTCACTCATCTAGGTGGTGTTAGGTGGGTCCGAAAATGATGAAAATATAGTTCTCCAGCAGACTAGCATGCTGACACATCGCCTACTGAGGAAAAAACTTTCGTAGAAGATGGCTAGTTCTCATCAGCATACAACGTTGTAAGCTTTGCTGTAGTGTTGGCTCATTAGCTCATCTGAAGAGGCATCCTTCATTACTCATCTGACACGAAAACCCTACCATTTTCTTTCATTGTTAATGAAACACCTATTTAAATGTTTTATTATTTTGGAATAATAACACATTTTTGAAATGTATTCTTTTATTGTTTTTGTCAGCTTATAGAAGAAAGCAGACTTTCAGCCCTATAGTTATCCAAGTATCTATTAATTTATACAGATAATCAAATGTCAAAACGAGAGAGAGGTTTATTAGCCTTATAGTTCCAGTTCAGATTTTTCTCATAACTCTGTCACTCATTGTGTCACGGGTTCAGCTACAGTGCATGCACTGCATGTAGTCCACTGGTGGTTTGCCACAGGTGCAGATGTACATGGAAGTGCAAAGTGGTTGTGGTTTGTTCCATCACTGGGTTGAGGTGAGCTTTCCGCTTCATCCTTTTTGTTTTCCATTTCACACTTCTGTTTTTTTAAAGTTCAAACCACAGGTCAGCTCTCGCAGATGATTCAGACAGGTTTGTCTGGTTGATACTTGAGCATGTTTGTTATCTGATGTGATTTGAGAAACATCCGTGTGCTCATTCTGTGAGCTGGATCAAATCTGAACCTGTCACTTTACTGGTGAGGACGAAGGGTGGGCGGTTGGTTCTGGAGCTGTTTTGAAGGGGGCCTGTGTTAGAGTTTACAGCTCCGAGCAGCTCATTAGAATACCGCCCCGCTGTTTTCTCGTATCTTTGGCACCCTGGAGGCCAGTAATGATCAATTTACATGAAATTAAAGCCACTGCATGGGACACTGCCTCTCCTTCACACCCCAAAGACACATGCACACGGAGCTGTGATGAGCGGGTGATGGTGAGTGACAGGCCATGCCATCACTCATATGCTCAGTATTCAGTCAAAAGCAGCGGCTGACTGAGGTGAAGATTGTTGTCTTTACTGATACATGTTGGTGCAAAAAACTGTGATACCGGAGCTGAAATATAACTGACTCGTGTCGACCCATTTTAATATGGTCAAAAATTAAACTGATTTCTATAGTTTTAGATGAACAGTGCCTTACTGACAGATATGATTGAGATTTTTTTCAACTCCAGTAACCAGCAGAAACTCTCAAAATAATGCAAATGTTTTTGGGCTTCTTAGTGCTTTTGCTGATCATGATTTTATACGTTTGGTTTGGAGAAATTGTATACATTTCTGTTATTTTGACCATTTTGAATCTTTTCACTCGGATTTTCCGGTCCCGTCTGTATGGTTATAATAGAAGTGAACAAATAGTAAATGAGATTCATTCACTGTTTATGATTGGTTAGGTTATAAAACAAGCCACTAAATATCAGGGCCATGAGGGAGCGAGGCCCTCATAGCTAAAAGTTTGGACACGCCTCACAATATATATTTTACTGAATGTTTGTACTGCAGCTGTTTTGATCTGAATTATACTAATGCTTAAATACACTAAATTTATTTCTAAAAATGCATATGTTATTTCTAGGTTGAAATAAAAATATTGGGTCAGATACCTATTTTGTTTTTGATACAGTTAAAACATTTAAAAAATATGTTTTCTATTAAAGAAAGTTACTGAATCAGAATTGATCACAGTGGTGGTAATAGGAACCAGATGTCTGAAGAGTTTAATGAATCTGAAAGCTCCCTCACAGAAGACTATTATATGAAATGTTTACTGCCAGATGACTGAGATGTTGTATACAGTGGTTCTGAGATGATTTTGGCCTATTTTTTTCACTGCGGAGAGGAAAATATCAAAAAAAAGTTGCCTAAAAAGTATTTTTACAGATTTGCTACTGTATCACCAGAGTTTTGTCATGATCATCAGGTCATATTGGCACCGTTGGTGTAAAACGTTGTATCTCTATCTTAGCTGTTTTTCATTTTTTGACACATTTAAAAAATACCACCTCCCCTTTATGTTGTGTGAAAATTTCATGATGACCAGGTTATTATAAATGATTCCAAATAACTTAAGATGAAATGTTTTTACATTGACTGCCAGTAAAAGTTTTTGTCTGACAACGACAATATAATCACTAACATCACTAGGGCTGCCTGGTGAATCATATTTCTGATTGTTGAGATATTGTTTATATCTCAACAACTTGAATTATGCAGAATTAAAAAAAAGAAAAGGTAAATCCCTTTTAAGTTACGTGTGTTTATATTGCATTTATGTGCCACTCTTCTGCAGTTCTGTTCAAGAAAGAGCCTGAATTTATTTTCTGAGTGAACAGCAGTATCCTGCCATCTATAATTTCTGCAGTTCTGTGCTGGGAGCCCCGTTTCCATTCTGTCCTTTCGCTTCGTGACCATACAGAGCACAATCAGATATACGGCCCTTTCCAAAAAAAGTATCGAACCTCCGCCGGCAGAAATAATGGGCCATTTCGCCTGTCCACTCGATCCATAAGGAGAGGAAGTGCTCTGCTCAGGAGAGCCAGCCTGCTCCAAACTCAATCACACAGCCTGCAGGAAAGCCTGGAGAAATGGCGCACGTCAGTGGAGACACATGTCCTCCCTCTCTCCACTCCTCCACAGTCTGAGGCCCTGGTCCTCACTCAGTGATGATGGCTGCTCCGCTGCTCTAATATATCCCATAATCCACTGCTGCTATAATCTGTTCTTCAATCTAATCTAGCCTCATGTGTTCAGCCTTGGACACACTACACAGCTACACGTCCATACAGATGGGGCTGTTGCAGCAGCAATTTTCCAGCACTTTCCATTGGCTGCTGATGTGCAATAATTTCTCACCTAATGAGTTATTTAAAGTTGCTTGGAAACTACCAAGTGCTGGATGATGTCAGGCTGAAGAAATGAAAGTTGTGAATGGAGGTCTGGCTCGGTTCAGTAGCTTAAGATGTATATTTGTTAAGCTTCCAATTGATGCCAGTTGATTTGGCTTCAGAGCTTTGTTCAGAGCGTTCAGTGCCGAGTGGTAGTTACTTGTTTTCTGCCGCCCTAGAAAATAAAAATACACTATTTTATGCTTAGAAATGTGGTTTAAATGTATTCAAAATATGCGCCAATGAGCTCTTCTGTAAATGAATTAACTGTTTGTTTACTATTGGGTTAATTGTTCATTAATTGTAATCTGTTATGCTAGTAAATGATCAAATTCCATTTGCAAGTGTACTCATACAGGTTATGTATTATAAATATGTATTAATACAGTCTGAATGATGAGTAAAGGAGGAGCTAATGAATATTTACCTTCTACTTACATATAGAGTGCGAATAATAAAATATGTTAACATGATCTTTATTAATGAATTTGCCAGCCCTTAACCACTGTCTTACCTTTATTATGTGCTATATTGTCTGTTGACTGGATCAATTTGA